TTTTTTTGAGATGGAGGCTCACTCTGTTGCCCAGGATGGAGTGCAATCTCAGCCCACTGCAACCTCTACCTCTTAGGTTCAAGCAATTCTCCTGCTTCAGTCTCTCGAGTAGTTGGGACTACAGGTGCACACCACCATGTTCACCTAATTTTTGTATTATTAGTAGAGATGGGTTTTCACCATGTTGGCCAGGGTGGTCTTGAACTTTTGACCTCAGGTGATCCAACCACTTCTTCCTCCCAAAGTGCTAGGATTACAGGTGTGAACCACCACTCCAGGCCAGAGCAACATTTTTCTAAATGCAGTTTCATGCATTTTTCCTATTGCTTTTAGAAGTTTAACTGCTGTTTCTAAGGTAATATAGTATGTCATTGTTCTTAGAACTTCCAACCTTGTATGTTTTTCCCTGGTCATACTTCTTCCTTCTCCAGTAGAAATAACTACTACTTTGATTTTTATGGTAATTATTTTCTTGCTTTTCTTTTGCTTTCTGTATTTTGAAACACTGTTATTAGATGCATGCATATTTAGGATTATTATGTCTTCTTGATAAATTGACCCCTTTATGATGTAATGTTTCTCTTTATCTCTGGTAATAGTCCTTATTTTGAATTGTTTTCTTAACTTTAATTTGTAGTTTGTCTTTTTACTCTGTGATTCTTTTGATCATAGGAATTCCTTGTAGTTTTACAACTGAGATATATATCCCTTAATAATACAGTTTAGTTTTGTTTTGAATTCTATTTATGTATATAATTTGGGACTTGCTTCTCTTACTCGACATTGTAAGAGTCATACCATCACATGTAACACTATTTATTTTCATTGTTGTGTTCCATTTTATATTCATACAATTTATATTACAATTTATTTGTCTATTCTATGGCCGATGGACATTTGGTTTGTTTGCAGCTTGAACTATTACAAATTGCTGTTATGTACATTTTTGTACACAAGTCCTAAATGTGCATGTCCAAGAGAATTGGCTTTATTCATTGTTCATGTTCGTGTAAATGTTCAACTTCACTAAACAACATCCGTGTGTTTCTAAGGCAGTTGTACCCAGCAGCAATGTCTAAAAGTTCTGTTGAACCATAATCTTGCCATTGTGTCATATATTTTCTGTCTTCTTTTTTCTCTGCCCCACATTCTAGAAAATACAGAGAATAAGGTAGTATAGATTCCTTCCAAATACATTTTCAGTTATCCCAAAATATCATTCATTCCTTCCCCACAGATTTCAAATGACACCTTTACCACACTATATATATATATATATATATATATATATGATATATATATTCTTATATATACATGACAACTTTCAGACATTATCCATCTTCTGAACTAGTACTGACAATATTTTTTTATATGTCTGGCAAGGTGATTTCCCATTCAGTATTATTATTTATTGTGAGGTTCAAAATTGGGTATCATGTGAAAATGTTTTTTATCTGTAAGTCACCACAAAAACAAATACATGTTATCTTTTCCAATAGTTTTGGTTTGAGCTTTTATTTCCTCTGTGGTTTATTGGTCATTTTGTTGAAAAGAAATCTTTTAAAAAATTTTTTATAAATATTATAAAGTATTTGAGGACGAGGATTTATTGCTACTTACTCTGAGTCGAACACATGCCTAGACCACAGTCCTCAATAAGCATTTGTTGCAAATTAATAACTGTCTTAACATATCAATGAGTAAATAATATATAATCAATTACTGTGTTCTTAGACAATAACTGTAATGGTATAAAAATGATAACAGATGGTATCCCTTCTGAAACATGACATTTTAGAGGATAAATTTATGATAAATAATGAATTTGGGGGAGAACATAGGTAATATGCTTTTAAGTAATTTTTAGATGTTTTTATACAATGTTTATATTTTGAAACGCTTTTTAATTGTACATCTTGCTATTCTTTCATTTTGCTATTAGAAATTTTTGTGAATAAGCCAGTTTTCAATAACAGCAGAGTCAACAGCTTTATATTTGACCAAATAACATATTCCTTGGGAGTTTTCCAACTATATAGTATAGTTTGGCTCATCAGTTAATAGCATGTTACTTGTAAATGTGTTTAATGCCGTAATATGAAACTTTGTATTTACATTTCTTTGCAGTGAACAAGAAAGAAGTTATTTGAAAAATACTAGTCTGTTTCATGCAAGAGATTAGCAGATCTAGGATCATTTTCTTCCAGTTTTCTGACTTTCCCTATTCATTCTTACCTTACCCTATTCATGCTTCTTTGTACACGAGTCCTAAATGTGCATGTCCAAGAGAATTGGCTTTATTCATCAAATCTGAAAGAAACATGAATAGGGTAAGGTAAGAATCCCCCCTTCTTTGGAAAAATAAGTCTGGTGAGAATATACACACTTTTATGTTTTCACAAGTACTTTACAGAGGGAGAAAAGAAGTATTCCCCACTTTTATACTGAAATGGGTATTTCCTCTGTTGTTGTCTTCTGTTTTTTTCCCAGGGATCTGTGCTGCACATTTCTATATTTATGAAATGCCTCAGCTGTAACATATTTACTACTTGACTCCATCATTGTCCCAAACCACCAGGCTATCTTGACTTTTCTTTGGTTTCATACTTCTTCCAGTTCAGACTTTAAGCTTTGAAATTATCATTATTGTACAATTCTTGGATTCTTAGGGTAAAGAAACCTTAAAAAACATCTGTTCAACCTGAGAAAGCTGATAAAAAGAAAAGAAAAGAATCTTGTCTAGCTTCCTTGGTTGTAATCTCCTTTATAGTGTTGTCAGTATCATTCTGCTTGTTACAAGTTGGATTATGTATCACCCTGTTTAAAAACCTTTGAAAGACTCATCAATTCCTATTTGAAGCCTAAGCTTTTTTTTTTTTTTTTTTTAAGACAGAGTTTCACTCTTGTCATGCAGTCTGTAGTGCAATGGCACGATTTTGGCTCACTGTAACCTCTGCCTCCTGGATTCAAGGGATTCTCCTGTCTCAGCTTCCTGAGTAGCTGGGATTACGGGTGACTGCCACCACATCTAGCTAATTTTTGTATTTTTAGTAGAGACGGGGTTTCACCATGTTGGCCAGGCTGGTCTTAAACTCCTGACCTCAGGTGATCCACCCACCTTGGCCTCCCAAAGTGTTGTGATTACAGGCATGAGCCTCAGCACTCGGCCAAAGCCTAAGCTTCTTAAGATGGCATATAGAACTTTTCAAACCCAGGGCTACAGTGTATGACTATACAGATTGTTTAGTGCCTACCTCCAGAAGGCTTCCTTCTCATCCGTCATGATATGAATGAAGCTTTCAGGATTTACTTAATATGATTAGTTCAATAATTTTTATCTATTATTAGTAGTAGTAATACTAATATTAGTATAAGGGTAGGAAAGGGAGGGAGAAGTAATATGAACTGGCACTTCTGGAGAGATAGGTAGGGACTTGAACTACAAGAGCCTTGCTTGCAAAGCTAAAGAGTTTAGTAGGTAATGGGAGGCCATCTGAAGATTTTAACTGAGTGGCATGATTGGATTTTAGTTCTAGAAAAACAACTTAGGTGACAAGATGGAAAATAGACTTAAGGACTAGGAAAATGGCAGTGGGATATAAATCAGAACTTAAACTTGGGAAACTTCTCAGGATTAGACAATGTGCTAGGTGTTTTACATGCATTATGCCATTTTAGGCATAAGGAAACAGAAGTTAAGAGAAATAACTTACCTAAAGTCATACATGGCCATGCCAGGACTTCAGCTCTTGCGTGTTTGAGTAAAGCCCATGCTGTATAACATTGTGCTAGAGTCATACTGTACTTTTCACTACATATAAAAAAAATGTTCCACACATTATTGTATTCTGCTCCTGGCACATACCATATTCTTTGCTTAAATTCCTCCTACTCTCTTCTTTGACACCAAACAGCTTATAGTTCAAAACTTAGGTTCACGGTTATCACTCCTTTTTCTGTGACTGTATCATATTTTAAATATATATTTTTTGCAGTTCTCAAAACAGTGAGTCCTACATTATTGTTTCTTTTTATGGGTGGGTAGGGGTGTTGTAGTTTACTATTAGCTTTACACAACTGGTATGTCCATTTTTTATTCATTTAGCGTTATATAGATCTTTTAGAAAATCCATTTCTTTTGTTGTTTTGTTTTGTTTTATTTGAGACAGGGTCTTACTCAAGCCCAGGCTGGAGTGCAGTGGCACCATCTTGGCTCATTGCAGCATCTGTCTCTTGGATTCAAGCAGTTCTCCTGCCTCAGCCTCCCGAGGAGCTGGGATTACAGGCACATGCCACCACACCTGGCTAATGTTTGTATTTTTAATAGAGACAGGGTTTCACCATGTTGGCCAGGCTGGTCTTGAATTCCTGACTTCAGGTGATCCACCTGCCTCCGCCTCCCAAAGTGCTCGAATTACAGGCGTAAGCCACCACACCCAGCCTCTGTTTGTTGTTCTTAAGTGATGGTTTCAGTGCCAGGTGGGAAATAAATTGTAGCAGCCAAACTAAAACCAATATGGGCTTCAGGTTGCAAAATATTGTAGCAAGTCTTTTGTTTCTTTTTTTTTTTTTTTTTTTTTTGGGTGGGGGGTTGTTTTTTATTTGTTTTTTTGAGACAAGGTCTTCTCTGATGCCCATGCTGGAGAACAGTGGTGTGATCATGGCTGACTATAGCCTCGACCTTCCAGGATCAAGCCCATCCTCCCACCCCAGTCTCTCAAGGAGGTGGGAACACAGGCATGCATCACCATGCCTGGCTAATTTATTTTGTTTTTGTGGAGATGTTGACCAAGCTGGTCTTCAACTATTGGGCTCGAGATATTCTCCTGCCATCTCCCAAAATGCTGGGATTACAGGCATGAGTCAACATGCCCAGCAACAACTCTTGTAAAATGACTTTTCAAATATGAATTTGGCTTACTTATTTTCTGAATTAAAAAAAATTCAGAAAAGAGTAAGTGAGCTGGGCACGGTGGATCACCTGAGGTTGGGAGTTAGAGACCAGCCTGACCAACATGGAGAAACCTTATCTCTACTAAAAATACAAAATTAGCTGGGCGCGGTGGTGCATGCCTGTAATTCCAGCTACTCTGGAGGCTGAGGCAGAATCACTTGAACCAAGAGGCGGAACTTGCGGTGAGCCGAGATTGCATCATTGCACTGCAGGCTGGACAACAAGAGTGAAACTCTCTCTCAAAAAAAAATTGATTTCTCCAAGGGAAAAAAAAATCTGCATTAATACTGCCAGATTCATGGATCTTTTGTTTATACAGACCATGTAGAACATTAGTGTTAATATTTTAAAGATAGTGTAATTTTCCTATATTAAGAAATTCTGTTAAAATGAAGGGAGATTTTATCAATGAAAATGTATGTGAAATAACAAATGATATTTTACATTCTGTATTTATACCAGTATTTTCCAGAGAAATTTCCTCAAAGCACTTTTTCAGACAAGATTGGGCGCGTCAGGGTGGTATGGCCGTAGACTCAAAGCACTTTTTCAAAAAATGCTTTGGCATACGGGTTTCTAAAGACAATTAAGGCCAGGCACGGTGGCTCACACTTGCAATTTCAGCATCAGGGAAGGGCAAAGTGGGGGGATCACCTGAGGTCAAGAGTTCAAGACAAGCCTGGCCGACATGGTGAAACCCTGTCTATACTAAAAATACAAAAATTACTGAGGTGTGGTGGTACACACCTGTAATCCCAGCTACTTGGGAGGGTGAGGCAAGAGAATCGTTTGAACCTTGGAGGCAGAGGCTGAAGTGAGCCAGGATTGCACCCACTGCACTCCAGCCTGAGCAACAGAGCAAGACTCTGTCCTTAAAAAAAAAAAAAAAAAGGTGGCAATTAAATTTCAGGAAACCCCCAACTTACCTACCCCGTCTTGCAGATTTAGTTGTACATAGAGACAGAGAAACCCTGCAATAGGAGTGACCGTGCGTGTAAGGGATTGTGTTGCTGTTTGATGTTGTGTAATTCAGCATTTCCCAAGCTAAATTAACCAAAGAATTTTCTTTTCACATAAACTAATATTTCATGAAATTCAGTTTGGAAACTGTTGCCTTATATCTGTATAGTAAAGTTCATGGGGATTCTGAAACATAGGACAAGATTATAATGTATACATGTAAAAACAAAATTTTGTTTTAGCATTTTCTTAACATTCCAAACTTTATTTGCTATGGATGACCATCAGCATCAGCTGGGGGAAAAGCCACTGCAGAACAAAGCCAGATTGCAAAAAATCAAATTGGAAATTCTGAGTTGCCAAGATCATTGGAAGATTCAGATAATGATTATTTTGACATCAAAAAAAGGTAATTAAGTATAGATGCTGATTCCACATGTTATAATCTAAACAATAAAAAAAGAGATATTCAGAGTACTGTTATAAAGACTTCTACTTAAAGATATGAGTGAAATTAGTGATATTTTAATTAAAATTACCTTGATTCTGATCTTTACTGTTTTTTGCTAACATTCCTTTCCTAGATAATGAGGGATAATTTATAACTTAGATTTGTTTCTATTGTAATATTTTTATCATTGGAACAACTTGATGACAGAAAAATTTCTGTCTTCGTTTGCCTTCATTAGAACTAATTATTCTGCCTCTGTTCTTAGTTATAGGTAAACTAATCAATATGCTTTATTTTCCCATTGGTATCATTTCATTCAAATGTATAGTACTTAGGCAAGAGTTTTACACAGTCTTTTGAAATTAAAATACAGATTTCTATAAACAATTACTTACCATAGGACTATAAACAAATATGCTTCTAAAATTTTCAGTTATTTTATCTTGCTATAGATATTGAACTAGCATTTAGCTATAATAAATGAAATATGATTTTATTACTCATACTAAATGTAGCTTTACATGAATCATTAATGAGTCTGAAAGAACATGATAATGGTCTCAGGCTGACTGAAAATTTCAATATTTGTGTTTGTAGAGCATCAAATAAAATACATAAAATATGAAAAGCTAATATTCATGGGATCATATTTTAATATGACTTTCAAATCTGTCATTTCCTTTAAGTCAGTGTCTTTGGAAAAATGAAGATGATACAGCTATCAACAGAACACAGGACAATCAGGTACTATTTTTAATTTTTTGTTTAAACGTGGTATTGCAACACAATATTTTTACTGAGATTAAACAAACTGCAGATTAAAATGTCTAAGTTTTCGAGGCACATACTTCTAATATCAGTATTATCAATAGTAGTCCAGTTTTTCTGTTTTTATAATTAAGGTAACAGTGTACTCAAAAAGGGGAAAAAAGTTACCACCAACACTTTTTTGGATTATCTCCTCAAGTTTTATTACTAGTTTTAAGGTATATTAAACTTCACTTAACTAGCAGCTTTCATAGCTAATTTGTAATTTAACATATTAATACCTGTACTTGATTAACTTCTCTTTAGAACAGAATTATACTGTACGTTAAGAAGCAGTATGATAGTAAATTGTTTATTATGTTATAGTTACTAGCTGGTGACCTTGGATATGTTACCTAATTTGAATTGCACTGGTTTAAATGAGTTAATGAACACTATTCAGATTACCAGTTTATTCTCAAGAAATGATGGGAAGACTACGAGAATTTTGCTAATATTTGCAGGATAAATTTAGGACAGTCTTAAGAATGATAACAGTACTAATTTTAATCATAGCTATCAATGAGTAACAACTACCAACCACTATTCTATTTTACACATACTGACTAATTTTATCCCCACAAAAGAAACTCCATGAGGTAGATTATAGTTGTCATTCCTGTTTTACAGATGAGGAAACTGAGGCACAGAGAGATTCCATGGCTTTCTCAGGTCATTCATATAGTTAGTAAGTACTGGAGCTGAGCTTAGATCCTAAATAGTGTAGACTGGCTTCAGAGTTCGTAGTCTTAACCATTTTAATAACGACCTATCTAAATGATACTAATAATATAGCAACAACCAATTAGATAGCATTTATTGAGCCAATCACTGTTCTAAATGTTTTGTATATGTTAATTCATTTAATTCAACAACTATTTGTGGAGGTATTTATTTTCAGATGGGAAAACTAAAACACAGAAAGTTACATTATTTTTCCATGGTTATGTCTTTCATACTCATTGGAAAAAATCCCAAAAATGAGGCTTTAATTCTGCCAACAAATATACTACATTTTCTTGGTCCATTACTATTTTTCTAGGCAACTCTGTCATACCTTCTCCTCAAACAATCAAGACCTTCTTTCTCTTGCACTCTCAGTGATATCTTTTCTTTGTTAAATAGAATTAACTTGAAGAAAACTATTAATCTCAAAATTTTATGTACAGAATGAGGTTGGGGTTGTGGTTCAGTTGAGATCCTCAGATAACCACTTCCTACGCCATTTGTTAAGACTTTATTTTTCCTATCGCATTATTCAAAACTCAGTTGACTCTATGGATCCAGGATAATTTCTAGCCTCCCTTTCTGCTCAATAATTTTTTTTATCCTTATGCCAGTACAACATTATCTTCATTACTGAGGCTTTATAGTAGTCTTGTTACCAGTTAGTATAAGATTTCCAACTTAATTTTTTTTCAAGATCATTTTGGTGATTCTAGATTCTTTGTGTTTTCATATAAATTTTAGAATCAGCTTGTCAATTCCTTACCAAAAGACTACTGAAATTTTGGGTGAAAGCACCTTGAATCTGTCAATCAATTTGGGAAGAAAACTGATACCCTAACTATACTGAATCTTCTAATCTTTGAACACAGTATGTTTTCAGTCGTGCCTGTGGTTGCTGTTATAGTGTAGTGCTCTTATAGATCTTTTAATATTACATTTATTTTTAGATAGATGATGTTTTTGACGCTTCTCTAAAATGGTATTTTAAAATTTTTATTTTCTAATTGTTGCTAGTTTATAGAAATGTAATTGATTTTTACATATTGAACTCATCTAATGCAATTTTCCTAAATTCTATTCTATCTTTTTTTTGTAGATTCTTTAGGACTTTCTTTTTTTTTTTTTTTTTTTT